CTGGCTGGGGACACAATCTCCAGTCACAATTCCAAACCACTGCTCCTCCTCCCAGGCTCTCTCCAAGAAGCACAGGGGGCACAGCTGGGAAGACTTCTGGGGACAGAAGGCTAAGCAGGGTCCCCACTCACACTGGGGGAGGCGTGCTAGCCTTGGGGGCGTCAAAGGCTGATGCGGAAGGGAGTCACTGGGCTCTCCACCTCCATCCGGGGCTACCTCCACTGGGGGATCTGTCCAAGTACTCCCCAAAGTTTGGCTGCCTCAGACACGAAGGAGAAGCCTGCTCAGAGATCTTTAGAATCTTCTTCAGCTTCGTACCCCCCAAGCATTTGCTGAGTGACAGCTATGCTCAGGACACAGTATATGAAAATAAAAGGCCTGGCTCCTCTTGGTGCAAGCGCCTAATCTAACCAGAAAGGCATGCTATTAAAGAGGTTTTGGTTTCTCTAAAGCTGCTAGGTAAAAAACAAAGCAAAACTGATTCATGTAAAAAAAAAGGAATCTCAGTGAGTAGAAATGGGGTGCCGTCCTTTGTAGGCACCTGTCCCTCAGGGCTCAGTCAGTGGTACACTCCTACAAGCTCAGCTACTGGGAAGGCTAACACAGGAGGATCACAAGCTCCAGGCCAGTCTGGGCAATTTAGCATAAAACTGTCTCAAAATAGAAACCAAAAGGGCAGGGGATGTAGCTCAGTGGTCAGTACTCGCCCCGCGCAGGCAGGGCCCCGAATCTCTCCCCAATACCTCCCCTCCACATCCCCCAACCCCTAGAAAAGAGAGCGGATAGAGCCCAGGCCCAGAGGACCTCCACCAGCAGAGGTGTGTGACAAGTTCTGCCTGTGGGGAGGACAGCAAAGGAGAAGCTGTGGTTGCTCTCTGCAGGGTGGGAAGGGGCAAAATGACAGGGCTTCCTTAACAGAACAGCATGCGGCTCAGGGTGACCAGGGACTGCAGAGGACACACAGCCTAAGAAGAAGACTTCTGTCTCTTTTAGTAAGGGCCCAGGCCTGAGAGGCCCCCAACTCTATCCCTGTCAGAAGAACCATGTCACCAAGAGGCACCTTCTAGGGCGGCAGGGCTGGATCAACACTAGAAAATTCATGACAGTTGTGCTTTTCTCTTGAGCCACACTCTTGGGCAGGAGCACGTGCAACTTCCTGGGTCTCAGCATCAACAGCACGTTCGGGGTAACAGTTTCGTCCATCGGAAGTTCTAGCATTGTCATCAGATTGGCACTAATAACTACCCAAAGCACGATGACTCATGGTCCCCACTCCCTTCTAAGAGGAACCTCCTCATGGGGGGCACCTAGTAAGGGGCAGACAGGAAGTTAAGGGGCTTTTCTGGGTCAGTGCCTTCACACTGGGACTCTTTTTGGGTACAGAAGTTCCCCTAAGTCCCTAGAGTAGCCAGGGGACCCCAAAGGTGGGGTTCTACGTGCAGCCCCTAACATGCCTGGTCCTCTCCTTCCCTTCCCCATTACTGCCTGCTTGTTTGTCACTGTCTAGGTGAGACAAAGTGAGGAGATGACTCACTCACTGTGACAAGAGGAATGGTGGAAAGTTCCAGGGGGAAGGAGCTATGATTGTCACTTATTTGTCACTTGTCTCTGCCCAGGCCCTATGGCTGGGCGGCACTGCAGTCAGCTGAGAATCCTTTCACACAGAGGCCCGGATGGCCTCCCTCAAACAGCTGGGAGAGACCAATTCCTGGTGGGATTCCATTCTGATTTCTATATTTTGGGTTAAAATATAGGGGCTTAGTGACCATTGAACAGGGACCCAGGTCGAGGACAGGCGACCATCAAGTGGGGCATGGGAGTGAGGCTCAGGAGAGACAGAGGCAGAGGGGGTAAAGGTGCTGAGACTCCTCCAGTCCCCCACATCCCCAGCTGCCTCTCAGGGGAGGTACTGGGACTTCTTAAGGCCTGGGAGCACAGGTTTGTGCTGGCACTGGAGAGGGAACCCTCACTGTTGTGGCCAGAATCTTTGTTGGGGGTAGAGGAAGCTGGGTGTCCAGGCTGAGTGACAGCCAGGACCACCTCGGAGCATCAGCTCTGGAAAGCACAGGAGTCCAGGTCAAGGGTACAGCTGCAGCTGTGAACTCGCGCCCTGAATCCATCCCTGGAAGGGCGCCCCAACTCCTGGTCTGGAGCCTGGAGTGGTTGAGGGGCTCCTGTCAAGGGCTTTTGGCAGGACCCCCAAGCTAAGGTGACTAGAGGTCCACACTTTTCCTTTCTAGGTCTCTGTTTTCTTTGTTAAATTGTTCCAGGAGTGGAATTCTCTTTCAAACAAAATTATAAGCAAGTCCTCAGTGCAGCAAACCTATGAAAACACACTGGGTCTGCTCATGTGGTGCGCAGATGGGCTGCCTGCCAGCACCCCCAGATCTGGAAGCGACAGCTCAAGTGGGCAGGAGGAGACGGAGTTCTCAGATGACTCCTCTGCGCAGCTTGGCACCTGTCCTCTGAAGCACTGGCCCCTTGGTCTCAGCCTCCCTGGAGTCAGTCTCACCCTGCTTCTCTCCAGTTCACCTCTCCAGTCTGTCAGCTGATCGTACGGCTCTCCCCTCTGCCTCCTCTGCCACTGCAGGGGCTCCCGCAGGTATCTGCTTCTATCTCTGCCCACCTACTACCTGTCCCGCTTCTGTGCAAATGCAGATGCCTCCTGTGGGTGGCACTGGCCAGCTCGGTGCAGTCACCAAAACCTTTCCAGCCATGGTCTGCATCCCATCTCCCCAGCCTTGCAGCTTCTACAGCCAACCCCATCTCCCCCAACTTCCTTTTGCTTCCCCACATCCTTCTAGCCTCTGACAAATGCCCTTTCCTCACAGGGACCTCCTTCAATCACCTGTCCCGAGTGCTCTCTGGGTTCCCGACACCTCCTACCTCATCTCTGTCTCTTCTCCAGGAGTGCCTCAGCTGCAAGGAGGCAGGGCCTTGCTATAATGCTGGGCCCCCGTGTCCCACAGGACAGACCACTGGTTGGTGGATGTGCAGTCCTGAAGCATGGGAGAAAAGGCACTGGTGCCCAGTATATGAGGCAGCCTGTCCACATTTTCTCTCTCCCCAGCCAACAAGAAACAGGCTTGGCTGTCAAGAGCCTCAGCTGCCCACTCCAGGGCCAACACTCCAGGGACACCGTCCTGGCCCCTTGGGGCACGTAAGAGGCACTTCCTAGCTCTGAGCTGCAAGACAGAAAGGAAGAGGCTCTGGAACCACAGGGCAATAAACACACTTCACACTCAGGACCCAGCCTGGGTGCTTTGAGGGCCTAGGGGTGGTTCGGGGCATGGGAAGGCAAGAAGAGTCTGGGCCTTGCAACACCTTGCACGTGCACCCCAGGAAGGAGATGCTCACTACAACCTGTCCAACCCCAAAGGGACTCTAAAACCCTGCAGTGTTTAAGCAGCAAAGCGAGACTCACAGAGTGCTTAGGATGTACCAGGCCGGAGATGGTGCATTACTCCTGTGCCACCTGTGACAGCTACCTCTGACGCATCCAGCCCACAGAACAATCCCAGGAAGGAGCCCCAGTGTACTGACAGGCAGCGTCCCCTTACTTGTCCAAAGTGACGGCTGGACAAAAGGAGGGGTCACACCCAACAAAGGATGACAAAGGTTATAATAACTATTAAGGGGTTCCCCAGGGTAAGATGCGGAAGTCTTTCTACAAATTTAATCCTTAATACAACTTATAAGGTGGAGTTACTATTACTGAGTCTCATTTTATAGGTAAGTAAACTAAGGTGCAGAGTGATTAAATAACTGGTTCAGTAGTGAACAAAGGAGGGTAAGAGGAAGGGTAGGTCAGGCTGGGTCATTCCTGGGGAAAATGGGAAGCTGGTGAGGTCAGGGCCCAGCCTCTCTCACCTTCCCTTCCTTCCGGAGAACCCCTCCTTGCCTGCTATGCCCTGCAAATTTAGCCTGGAGGTCCCCTCCCCCTGGGAATTCCCACTTCCTCCTATGGGATGGCATTTGTCTCTGAGGAGATCAGTTCCAAGGAAAAGCATCCAGCCTCCAGTTTCCAGCTGAGGCTGCAATGGAAAGTTAGAGAGGGTGGAGAGAGGTGTCTGGAGGGTCCCTCCAAGCCGCTCCCAGTGCCCCACTCCAGTCTGGAGGCTGCACAAGATCTGCCCAAGGATCAGCCCAGCGATTAGCCCAACTCTCCTGTTTACAGGGCAGAGACCAGGTCACATAGCTGGGCCAGGCAGCGACAGAGCATGGCTCATGAAACAGACCCACGACTTTCACACCCCAAAACCAGGGAAGGGTTCACAGGGCAAAGCGCTGAGGAGCTTGAGTGCTGGGAACTGGAAAGGACAGAAAACTGGACACTTCCCTTAAGGAAGCTGGCTTCTACCGCTTTATGCCCTCCAAACTGCATCCTCTCCCAGGGACCACGCAAGGCTGTGTACCCTGGACCCTCTCAGAGCACCAGGCTGGGCAAAGGCCGGTCAAAGGTCACGGTCCACAGCCAGGCCCTCCCTCAATGGAATGGGGGAGGGGACCCTGATGGGACTTCGCCCAGAGGTGGGGGTCAGCTGTTGGGGTCTGGGATCATCGGGTTCCCCACCCCACGCCCGGCAGAGCCTTGGGCGCAGGCAGTGCTGTAGGTCAGCGGGTCCGAGCCCTAGCTGCAACCAACCAAAGTTCAAGCCAGGAAGGAACCAGAGGAGACAGCTGCGTCTACACAGACACCGGGCTCTGACAGGTAGAGACGCTGTCCCTCGAAACCCCACCGCCCAGCCGCGGAAAGTGTGCGCTGGTTTTCCAAAGAGCGGAGTCGGTGTTCAAAAGTTTCTCCAACTCCTAGATCACTGAAGAGTTCCCAGGGCGCCCCCACCCCCGCAGAGCCCGGGTCCCGCCCTGGCCGCGGCTGGACCCGGCTTGCATTCAGCCTGACCGTCCTCTTCCCCGGGGTCCAGAAGCCGGGGGACCCGCCCCGAGCGCCGGGAGACCGGGGCGTGCAGCCACGGGAGGGGACTCCGGCGCCGACTTACCCCGCGGGGTCCCCGCGCGCTGGCGCCCCTGCCCGTCGGATCATGCCGCCGGCCGCTCGGGTCTCTGCTCCGCGGGGCTCAGGCGCGCGGCGTGGACCGCAGAGCCCCGGGAGCCCGCATGGCGCTGCGGCTGCCCTAGGAGGGGCCGGGGGCGCCGTCGCCAGCCCCGCGCCGAGTGCGGACTCCGCCGCCGCGCAGGGCGCTCGCTCCCTGCCACTTCCTGTATCGCCGCGAGCGGGGCTTTCAGGAAGAGGCTGGCCTTGGTGGTCAAGGGATTTTTTTGTCAAGAGCCATTTGGCGGCGGCTCGCGGCCCAGAGCTCCCCGAGGTACGAGGTACGTACGCGGAAGCCGGCCGTGGCCCCCGACAGGGCCCAGGCGTGCGACCCGGTGCCGCCTCCGCGGGCGGGGGCTCCGCAGAGGGAAACTTGGAGCCAAGTCTCCGCTCGGTGCGGGAGCCAGGTGGGTTTGGTCCGGCTGGAAGCCATGGCCTGCCTCAACCCTAGGGAGCTCAGAAAAATGCCCCAAGAGCAGTCCAGACCTGAGTCTCCGACCGCGCCTCACATCTCTGACAGGTGACAACGCCATATCCTCTTGGATGCCTCAAGAGGACGATGATCTCACCACTTAACAAGGCTGTTTGTCTCTCTATCAAGCCTGACATCGAATTCACCTGTGCTGGGTGCTGCACCTAGATGGAAGGCAGTGGGTGAAAGCCAGCGAGGTCACACAACTACAGATAACATGCACAGCAATCCTGAGAGGACAGGGGGCTCCTCCTCTAAGTACCCAGGCACTTAACAGTGTCAAGCCCCCTGTCCCCTCAGCATGTTTCAAAGTGATTGTGTAGTGTTGGTCCCTACGTGGCAACCTCAACCTAGTGCAAAGTTTCTCGGTTTAGACACTAGGAATAGCAGGGGCCACACTGGGTTTTGTCCCTCGGCCCCACTGTGCACTGTGGGCCTCTTGACCCCATCCTTGGCCCCGCCCACTGGTCTTACATCTTCGTGTCATAGATAAGAAGACTGAGACCAAGAGGAAGGAAGCACCTTGCTCAAGGTCACACAGCAAGCAGAGGCAGGCAGACCAAAGCCCAGTACTCTGGGGAGTGCACCGCCAGGCCCCTTTGCCCTGCACGCCTTGGCCAGGCTGCTCTCACTCTAAGGTCCCTGTCATTCCTGGAATTTCCCATAGGAGCCCTTCAGAAGTTAGAGAGGAAAGAATTTGCGTGTGAGCACACATCCAAAGTCACGCCTCCTGGCAGGAATGTGAAATGCTGCCAAGCCACTCTGGGGAAGGCTAGCAGGTCCTTAAAGCAGGACCTAGTTACCTGGTGAGGCAGCAGCTCCACTCCAAGGAATATCACTAAGAGAAGCAAAAACACTTCCACACAAAAGCTGGTGTATCACTGTTTGTATCAGCCTTCCTCATCATGGCCCAGAGGGGCAGCAACCCCAGGTCCCTGAGCTGGCAGGGGATAAGCACAGTGCAGTACATTCATGCACAGGTGGTCATTCAGCAGCGAAAGGGAGTGAAGCCCCAAGAGATGCTTGTTGTTACACGGATGAACCATGAAAGCATGTGTAGCCGAAGGCACCAGTCACGAAGAACCTCATTCCATTTACATGAAGTGTTCGGAACAGGCGAATTCACAGAGGCAGAAAGCCAATTGGTGGCTGCCAAGAACCCTGGAGCACAGCATGGGGATGCCTGGTCATAGTTACAGGGTTTCTGTTGGGGGTGATGCAAATGTTCTCAATTGATTGTGGTGATCCCTGCACAGCTCTGTGGCTGTACTTAAAACCATGGAATTATACGCTTTAGCTGGGTGAATTATGTGGCATGGGAATGGTATCCCAATAAAGCTATTGTTTTAAGAAAAGGCACAAAAAATGTATGGCCCGCGGGGAGGCCACCCTGACTGCTGCAGCCCATACCACTTTCCCCTCTGTAGCCCAGATGCCTCCAGGCCTCTTTTGCTAGGTCCTGACCAGGCCCTGCTGATTTCTCCTCTCCTCCAAGGCTAGTGCATCTCTGGATGGAAATCAACTTTTCCACCCTCTCCATGAGGAGGACTATAGCTTCTTGTTTGAAAAGTAGTCACTAAGCACAGACCTGAGTTCAAATCCAACCCCAAGGCCTTCCAGCTGGGTGGCCTTGGGCAAGACTCTTCCCACAGCCTTGCTTGCTCACCTGTGAAGGTGATGAGTGCAGGTGAGGTGACCAAGAAAGCACCCCCTATCCCATGATTACCTCTTGCTGTTCCTCAAAGAGGCCCACAAGCCACTCCCAGTCCTCCCTGAGCCCTGTGGTGGTCCACCCAATTGCTGTTCCTAGAGTGGTCCTTCAGTCTCCTTTAGACTGTCCTGGACCAAGAAGAATGCCCTGCCATCAGTTCTCACCCAGGAAAGGGTTCCCTCAGCTCCCTGAATCACTGCTGAGAAACTGGAAAGGCTGCTCAGAGCCTGGATTCCAAGGGACCAGCTCCAGGCTCCTATCACATCCCCATGGAGCCCTCCTGAAAACCCCACAGCTCACCTGTCCTGAGAAGCCAGAATTCCTCAGGTGGACACCACGTGAAGCTCCATGGTGTCCCTGTTGCTGCTAGCTGACCAGAGAGAAGGCTGCCATGATTCTAGAAATCTGAGCAGTTGCTATTAGCTGAGGCCTCTGGTGAACTCTGACCAGGCATATGGCCTGGCCAACTGGGGCCTGCGTTCATTAGTCACAGTGATTGGTTCATGGATGAGCATGTGACTACTGGACCAACCAGATCCCTCCATGAGATGGGCTGGCACTATCAGGGAATACCTAGCCCCCCTCCAAGGTGGCCTTAAACTGAGAGATTACGAACTTGGGGCCACCCTGGACCACCATGTAGTACAGCTCTATGTAAGAATGAAGCCAAGGTAGAAGAAAGCAATGTAGAAATGTGAACAAGAATTCTGCCCTAGGGACAACCTTTGAGGCTTGGATTCTGCTGTACTTATAGATAGGTCTACTGTTAGCCTTCAGTGAAAAGAGCCAGTAATAGTCCCTTTTATTTACTTTTCCTTTCTTAAAAATGCAAACTCAGCTGGGCATGATGGCGCAGGCCTATAATACCAGCACTTGGGATGCTGAAGCAGGAGGATCTCTGCAAGTTCAAGGCCAGCCTGAACTACATAGGGAGATCCTGTCTCAAAAAATCAACCAACCAACCAACCAAGAAAATGCAGCAAACTCCCCCAAAACAGACTTCCGTTAGTGGTCAATAGAAGATTTCAGATTATGCAGCCCCACCCAGCTTCTTCTATTCTTCTACTAGGTCCTTCATGCACTCCTCAGCACCCTCCTCTCTCCTCAGAGGAAAGAGCAATAGGCTGGGTCCTGGGCAGGAATCCGGGAATTTTCAGGAAAGCAAACTCTAAACTTCCTTGGGGTTCTTAGGGGCTGTTAGTGAAGAAAAGTCTCACAGCACTGTCTTTGTTTCTCAGACCCCCAAATCTGTCTGAGTTGGAAGCAGCATATCCTGTCAACACTGATTTCCCTGCTCTGTAGTGGGTAAGAGCACGGACTTGAGCCCAACTGTCCATGATCAAATCCCTTACTTTGCCCCTCTGGGGGGCACTTTGCTCCTGTGTAAGGTGGGGTAGCTCATAGGTTTGCTGCGCATTGCTAGAGCTAACACAGGAAAGGCGCTTTGGACAGAGCGTGTGTGGATGGTCAGGATGCACTGGCCGTTATTTGTATTATGGCTAATGCCCTCAATGTGTCAGTCAGGTTTTCCAGGAAACAAATACCTTATACTTTGAGGAGAATTTAAGAAATGTGTAGGTAGAGATACACAAGGGAGACAGCCACAACCCTCAGATGTGTTGCCACCTTGAGCCCAGAGGATAAGCAGTGGGATGCTTATGAGACCCAGAAGCAGACAGACACACCCTGCGGAAGGACCACAGCACAGGGGGAGCGCCTGCTCATGGCTACCCAAGGCAGCCAGCCAGAAACAAAGCGCTTAGGTTCCCTGTCCTGCCTGCAGCCCCCTGTAGTGGCTCCCAGTTTCCAAAACCAACAAGTAAAGGCCATGGTGGCCCACTGGTCAGCTCAGGGGGTCCACTGGCTGTGGGGGGAGTTAGGCCAAAATGGCAAAGCTATAGAGTGGTAGTCTCTGGCTCCAATCCTGCGGCCTCTGGCTGGGAACCAGAGACAAATCCACCAAGATACCATGTGCAGGGCCCACGCCTCTGAGACCCTCCAGCCCAGTTAGTCTGCCATTATGTCACTGCCACCTAGAAACCCGTGGCAGTGTCTCAGTGGACAGAAGAATCACCAGACAAGCGTGAGTTCCTGACTGGTAAAACTGATAAAGTTGGTGGAGCACTTAATTGATCAAGTTGTTTTTACCAGCATAAAGCTGATAAAAACTGTCATAAAGTGGGCTGCTATCTGAGATATTTGCAAAAGCAGAATCAGCCGAAAACAGCTCGTTCTCTGCTGTTTCCATCTTCTGACTCCCATGGTTCCATTCCTGACTTTAGAGAAATGGCTGTGGGAAAAGGATGACTCTGTTACTGCAAAATCAGTCTGTGTCATCAGGGGCAGATGGGAACAAAATGCCTGCCCACCCTGGGCAAGGGACCGAGGTGTGGCCAGAGTGAGGGTCAGGCACACACGTCACGGCCCCCCGAGCCTGAATGGTGGCGCACGCTGACAGCTGCCTCTGCAGACTCAGTTGCTCTGGACTGCTTGCCGGCCAGGCCCAGGGCTCAGATGAGAGCCAGGCTATGCACTGATTGGCTTACCTGGGTGAGGGACCATGCTTGGCCCTATGCTTGGGGGGTGGCTTTCTCCTGGATCTTCTTGGGGAAGGGTTAGAACCCCATTAATACTAAGATTCTGTTGGAAAGGAAGAAGAACACGAATACTGATAGTAGAAGAGAATGCCCGGCCACGCCATCCGTGGCAACACGGCCACTAGCCGGAGACCACACAGGAAGGAACTTTGGGTTAGATGGGTATCTTCAGGATCTTGAGTGCGGTGATGGTTTCAAGCGGGTACGCCTGCACCAAGTTATACACTTGTTCTTTTGCCATCGTTGTATGTCAGTTGTATTCAGAGGGGCAGTTTTAAAAAATATGTTGCCTCTATTGCTGTTATGTTGTAGAAAGCATTAAAACCCCTTGGAATAATTCTTCTAGTTTTCTTTTCTCTTTTCTTTTCGAGACAGGGTCTCACTATGTAGTTCAGGCTGGCCTTGAACCCACTATGTAGCCCAGGCTGGCCTCAAAGTT